ATTACAAAAGATTAAAATGATTTCAGATGCCATATACATTATGCTAAACATTAATCTGAAATGTTAAAATGACAAAGAATTACAACATTAGAAACTAAACATCTAAGCATAGTAATAAGAAATGCTGAACGATAAAATATGTTAAAAATTTCCTTTTACTTGATCTTAAAACATATCTTTGACTTTATATCTGATATCAACTTCATTGTGGTGTGTATGTTCAGGCCTGTTGCTTGGGAGGTTGTGAATTTTGAGGGGCAGGGCCTGATATTTGTTTTGATTGCAAAATAGAATAAAAGGATAAGTATGTCAACCTCTTTTGGATTTGACCAAGAATATAAAGTGAACTGATGTCAATTTTTCCAGTGGATGCCTTATGTTCAATGTTTAAAACTTTTTGCTGTGAAATGTTACTACAGAATGTTTTTGTCACTTTTTTGCCTGTTTTGTTCCAAGCTGTTTGATGTCATTGTTTGAACTATTTTGTTTGAAGTTTTAAACTGTCTGATGTCAATGTTTGAACTTTTTGTGAAGTTTTAAACTGTCTGATCCCCTTATTTGAGCTATTTCTAATGAAGTTTTAAACTACATTTATCTGATATGATTGTTTGAATTGTTTTGTTTGAAGATTTTAACTTTCTGATGTCAATGTTTGAACTGTTTTGTTTGAAGTTTTAAACTGTCTGATGTCAGTTTTTTCGAAGTGGCATGAGTTTCCTGTAAAATTATATAAATGGTGGTTGCAGTCTAGTTGAAGTCATTACTGATCTGACTTGCCTAGCAATCACTTCATAACTATAAACACACAAACACAATGGATTCCTACTCTATGCAAGAATCTGAAGTCTATAGAGTGCCAGAGAGAGAACAATACTCTGATCGGGAGCAAACCACTGAGCAGCTTGATGCTGCATACAGAAAGTTCCTCAGGCATCAGGCAGGTTGGAAAAGGAAAACCTTGCAGCAACTTTGCAGATTTCTAAAAATTGTCCTTTTCAGGACCCTCATGTTTTTACTAAAGAGAAATTAAGTTTTGAATACTATTTGAATGAATGATTGATTATATGTGTTTGTGAAGAATGGTTGATACAATTTAGTGAATAGTTCTGAATATTGTTCACAGCTCTACGCATCATTCTTTTCAGGACCCCTAAATCATTGCTAGAGAAATTAAGTTATGAATACACATTTTAATGAATAAATGAATATAGAATTTGCCAAACAAAAGACATCATAAACCAGCTACACATGGACATAGCATAAAGGCTGATAGGGACAACCCAAAATTATTATAGGAATACTGAACTATAGTGATAAAAATGTTTGAAAAATTAATTTATTGCCTTTTAAATGTCCAAAATTGGTCTTTGGATGTACTTTTAAGCATACAGGGTGTATGGAAAGTAAAGATACAAATACTCTTATTTTATGAAATTTGGTTTTTTTAAATGAAATTGCTACAGATTGAGGAAAAACATTATTACAATATACACTTTGAAACTGAAGGTCATGACAGTTCGGGATATATTGTTATGACATCATTCTACATTCTGGAGCAATTTCATCTCATAACAGGTAAATCTCTTGAAATAAGAGCATTTGTATCTTTACTTTCTGGACACCCTGTACTTAAGAAATAAAATCAATGGAAAAGATAGGAAAGCCAATAAAGGTAATTTGTCAACCATTTCTTTTTGATATTTGTCCAAAAATCTTGTGAGACTGATGTTATTTTAAAATTGAGGGTTTACGTTGATGGTTAAATTTTCCATTGTCAATAAAAGTTTAGACTACATGTACTCTATTTCAGGTTTTAAACTGTCTGATGTCAGTGTTTGGCATGTTTTGTCTCAAAGTCTCAAAACTGTTAGTTGTCATTGTTTGAAATCTTTGAAGTTTCAAGCAGGTTGATGTCATTGTTTGAACTATTTTGCTTGAAGTTTCAAACTTTCTGGTGTCAGTGTTTGAAATCTTTAAGCTGTCTGATGTCAGTGATTGAAATATTTGTAAAGAAGTTTTAAACTGTCTGATGTCAAAGTTTGAAATCGTTGTTTGAAGTTTTAAACTGTCTGATGTCAGTGTTTTTGAAGTGGCATTAGTTTCCTGTAAAATTATATAAATGCTGGTTGCAGTCTTGTTGAAGTCATTACTGATCTGACTTGCCTAGCAATCACATCACAACTCTAAACACACAAACACAATGGATTCCTACTCTATTCAAGAATCTGAAGTCTACGGAGTGCCAGAGAGAGAACAATACTCTGATCGGGAGCAAACCACTGAGCAACTTGATGTTGCATACAGAAAGTTCCTCAGGGGCTGTGACCAACTGCTGCTGATTGATGACAGAGCCAAGAATGTGGAGATCCGCTACCAGCGAGCCAAGCAAAGCCAGAGAGAGGCCCTTCGCTACTCCCTGCGACTACAACTATCCACTCTCAGCAACATGAAGATGATGTTCTACCACTATGCAACTGAGATGGCCGCTGTTGTTGAGGAGCTCAAGAGCAAAGTTGACCAAATGGAGTCTCAGGATTCTGATTCTGAATCTGAATATTCCTTCAACTCTGATGATGATTTGGTTTAAAGGTGAAGCAGCAGTTTCAAGAACAGGATTCCTTCAACTTCATCATCGGGCAAGCTGGAAAAGTATAACCTCGCAGCAACTTTACAGAGTTCTAGGAATGGTCCTTTTCAGGACCCTCATGTTATTACTAAAGAGAAATTAAGTTATGAATATTTTTTGAATGTGTGATTGATTGTATGTTTTTGGAAAGAATGATTGATAATATTATGCTAAATCTTCAAACTCAGATAAATGTCAAAATGCATTTTTTTATTGAATAATGGAACAGAGAGAGACACATCAGTTTACAGTTTGCAGTTTACTGCATATTTTTTTATTTTATTTTTTTATTTATTTATTTGGAAACTACGCTTTTACAACAGTGCCACACAGAATTGGTTTGTCCATTTAAGATACACTTACATGAAGATAAAAATTGTAATTCGTATTATTTTAGACATTGCATTTATAAGTTGACTAAAAATCCTGATTAAAATCATTGTATTATTGATTAAAAAAATTTCAGATGCCATATACATTATGCTAAACATTAATCTGATCTTCAAACTCAGATAAATGTCAAAATGACAATGAATTACACCATTAGAAACTAAACATCTAAGCATAGTAATAAGAAATGCTGAACGATAAAATATGTTAAAAATTTCCTTTTACTTGATCTTTAAACATATCTTTGACTTTATATCTGATATCAACTTCATTATGGTGTGTATGTTCAGGCCTGTTGCTAGGGAGGTTGGGAGTTTTGAGGGGTGGGGCCTGATATTTGTTTGGATTGCAAAATAGAATGTAAGGATAAGTATGTCAACCTCTTTTGGATTTGACCAAAAAAAATAAAGTGAAATGATGTCATTTTTTCCTGTGCAGGCCTTATGTTCAATGTTTAAAACTTTTTGCTGTGAAATGTTACTACAGAATGTTTTTATCAATTTTTTGCCTGTTTTGTTTCAAACTGTTTGATGGCATTGTTTGAACTATTTTGTTTGAAGTTATAAACTGTCTGATGTCATTGTTTGAACTTTTTGTATGAAGTTTTAAACTACACTTATCTAATATGATTGTTTGAATTGTTTTGTTTGAATTTTTTAACTTTCTGATGTCAATGTTTGAACTGTTTTGTTAGAAGTTTAAACTGTCTGATGTCAGTTTTTTGAAGTGGCATTAGTTTCCTGTAAAATTATATAAATATTGGTTGCAGACTTGTTGAAGTCATTACTGATCTGACTTGCCTAGCAATCACTTCATAACTATAAACACACAAACACAATGGATGCCTACTCAATACAAGAATCTGAAGTCTATGTAGTGCCAGAGAGAGAACAACACTTTGATCCGGAGCAAACCACTGAGCAGCTTGATGTTGCATACAGAAAGTTCCTCAGGGCCTGTGACCAACTGCTGCTGATTGATGACAGAGCCAAGAATTTGGAGATCCGCTACCAGCGAGCCAAGCAGAACCAGAGTGAGGCTCATCGCTACTCTCTGCGACTACAGTTATCCACTCTCAGCAACATGAAGATGATGTTCTACCACTATGCAACTGAGATGGCTGCTGTTGTTGAGGAGCTCAAGAGCAAAGTTGACCAGATGGAGTCTCAGGATTCTGATGCTGAATCTGAATATTCCTTCCACTCTGATGATGATTTGGTTTAAAGGTGAAGCAGCAGTTTCAAGAACAGGATAACTTCAACTTCATCAGACATGCTGGAAAGGGATAACCTCGCAGCAACTTCCCTTCGCAGAGTTCTACACATGGTCCTTTTCAGGACCCCCAAATTACTTCCAAAGAGAAATTAAGTTATGAAATTCTGTTTGAATGTGTTTTGTGAAAAAAATGGTTAATCATCACACTGGATGAAGTTTATGAGGAAAACAGATAATTGCTGTCCTTTTGTTCTTCCATTCATCCTTTGCTCTATCTGGGCAGTGACTTAAGACTGGTTTCATATGCTGATGGCCTCCAGGCATAGAACCTTTGCTTGAAAAATAAATTTACAGTATTGCCACATAATTCCAAATGGCCACCATATTCCAGAAGAAACATAATTTTTGTGATAAACCAAGTGCCAGTCTTCAGATTTGGTTCAAATTTATAATAGGATTATCACATTACTAAATTATGGGTGTCGATTTTGCCAAAAGGAGACAATACTTCTTTCTGGTTATTTCTATCCTGGAATGTTCAAAATGATAAGTGATTTGATAAAATGTTTTGTTTGGTGGGATTCGCTACTCCAGGGAGTTGCTATTTTTCAGTTCAGGATCCTATCATATTATATTGAGCTCTGTTTTATCCCAAAATGTAATTGCCCTTCCTCCAATTGTACTGCAACACAATCTTCATATATTTATGCATATTTCTCCTTAATTTTAACTCCTTAACTTCATTTTACCTTAATTTTTATATTTTCAGGTGTTTTTTACGAGACAAAAATTACAGCAACAACTGGACCTTATAGAAAAAGAGGTAAAGTTTGATGTTTTTTCCCAAAAGGACGATTTCCGGTTTGAAGAGCAAAATGCCATTTTTGGTTTGGAGAACCAAATTCATCTGCATATTTCTACGTTATCAATGTCACCAAAAATGTTAATACTTTTGTGTATTGTAGATTTAAATGTCCTCTTTTGTATACTTTTAATTAGTAATATTTTTAATTTTTTAATAAAAAAATATTAACGACCCCCCTACGTTTTTTTCATGATTTGTACCAACTTTTGAACAACATGTAAAACATTTTGTATAATAGAAATATGAACAATGGAATATATTGAAAACCTAAAATTTTGGAGAGATATTATGAGAACTTCATGATCACCCCTCGTATATTTTCCTCCTAACTCAAATCTGCTTTCCATTCCAGTATGGAGACAGAGAAGCCAGGGAATTGTGGCCGCAACTATTACGTAAAATTCCTGACTTTTTCAAAGGCATAGACATCAAACCTGCGCTTTTACATGGTGACCTTTGGGGTGGGAACCTAGGAGAATGTGACACAGGACCAGGTACGTAAGCTTTTGCAATCATATATCCTGATAATCTAGTTTCATTAAATTTTATTACATTACTCCATATACTTGTACGTTCATTTCTTGGATTTGTTTTATTCTTAGCAGTGATTAATGCATGAGTTATCTAGTATGCCAGGCTGACCAGATAGAGATTTCAAAAAGTGAGATTGCAATCAGACATAGTATTTTTGGAAGTTGAGAAATTATACAAATTGAAAATGTCCTATGATATATATAATACATGTGTTTAAATGGTGCCCAATTTATTAGCTAATCAGACTGAAGAATTCAAATTAAATGCATAATTGTCAAAAAGATGGCACTGTGCAATCTACTTATTTACATGTACAAGAGACAATTAGCATATGACTTAAATCTTTATGGCTTATTATGCGTAAACTACTTATAGGATATGATATATGCAATGTACATGTAGCTTCAGTATCTGACTGATGTAGCACCACACAATTTTCCCTCTGAGTACCAAACATGTCATCGTCATTTTTATTTCAGTGATTTTCGACCCGGCTTGTTTCTATGGCCACCATGAGTATGAACTTGGGATTATGATGATGTTTGGGGGGTCAGGCTCACAGACTCTGACACCCTACCACAAACTTATCCCCAAATCTCCAAGATTTGAAGAGCGTCATAAGCTCTACCAGTTATTCCATTATCTGAACCATTGGTAAGCTAGTATTGTTTGTGTATATTGTCAAAGGGTTGTCATGAAGGGTTGTCATAAAATTCGGACACAATCGGGGTCCAAATCTTAGATCAATGAAACAAGTTTAAAATTTAAATAAGATATTACAGTACAGTAAAATCTGTGTATATGGAATGCTTTCAGTATTGTTCCTTGTAGAGAGGTGTTCCTGAGTTCTTTATAATGCAAAGACGTGACTTATTTATTTAAATAAATAAGAAACGCCTTTGCAATCGGAGAATTGCCAGTTTAAGCCTGACAACCATGCCATCATTTGACAATTACATTGACCTTTGCATAAATGAATTGAGTTCATTCCAGAGTGAAAATCATAATTTGATATTTCATAAAGCATAAACTCAGTTCATTTTGCATAGACTTTAACAAATACATTGTCATCAATTAAAAATTACATTCCATGTACTTGTAGTGACATTTGACGCATGTTGTATATATGGTCACAAAGAATTTGATATCGCAGTTTCAACTTGCTTTCGCCATGACACAAAATTTCCCATACCATTAGCCAGTTACACTGCCTATGATTCGTTGATTCCTAAGTGCGCGGGTTGGGAAAACAGACATGAACTTTACCATTGTTGGTACATCTTAAATCACTGGTGAGTTGTACAACAGATTTATTTGCTTTGTCATGAACTATTTTGACAAAAAAGCTTCGTAATGAAATATATTTGAGGTCACTGGGAAAATTTGCTTCATTTTGAAGCTTTTTGATAAAATGCTTCGTAATGAAGCAAATTAATGTGATGTATAACATGTACCACAAAACAGGGGAATTATCAGTGAGATCTGTTCTAACATTTTTGTGTTTATTGAAAAAATTTCTTGTGTTGCTAATGTATTGTTCTTGTACATTTCAGGAATCACTTTGGAGGTAGCTACAGGCACCAGTCCATTGGAATAATGCGAAGTCTTATCAAGAAATAGACTTTAATGCTGAAAAAATCAAGAATTAGACTTGAATGCTGAAAATCAAGAATTAGACTTGAATGCTGAAAAATCAAGAAATAGACTTGAAGGCTGAAAAATCAAGAAATAGACTTGAAAATAAGATCAGACTTGAATGCTGAAAATTTAATCAAGAATTAGACTTTAATGCTGAAAAAATCAAGAATTAGACTTGAATGCTGAAAATCAAGAATTAGACTTGAAGGCTGAAAAATCAAGAAATAGACTTGAAAATAAGATCAGACTTGAATGCTGAAAATTTAATCAAGAATTTGAAAGCTGAATTTGAAAGCTGAAAAATCAAGAATTATAGACTTGAAAGCTGAAAAATCTTGAAAAGCTGAAAAACCTTGAAAGATACCCGAATACCTGATAGGTAATACAAGCATCTGTATAAATTTGATGTTTGCCCAAATGCATACAAAAATACATAAGGTGCGCCAGAACAAATAACTGTATTGCTCTTGAAAAGTGCTGTATATTCATATCAATGGGCATGAAGGCATACGCCCCACAAGAGCTCTTTTCACCAAGTAAGAAAACCATTCATCTGTTTTATTGAATTTTTAATAGACGCAAAGGCATATGATTGCCAAACTCAGTTTACGTTTTTTGGGATTCTGGGTAATATACAAGATGGCCATTTTGCTCTTCAAGTGCGATATTTGTCACTGTAAGTGTTTGTCGTATATATTTGAGCCTCAACATAGGAAAACTGGTCACAGATCTTTTCAATATTTTGATTTTTTGTTTATCTTAAAAAGCACAAAGAGACCTTTCAAATGAGCCGGCCATGGCTTGTGTTAAGGGTAGGTTTTCTTATGTTCATGCTCATTTAATGAGATGCTACATTATTAAAAGTTCAAAGCTATTGGGATGTTAAGCTTTGTGTCAGATCTAGTCATAATATATGTACATGTATGTACATTAAGAGAATTGAGTTGTAGTTTTGTCTAGATAAGGCTTTGCTTTGTTAAATTAATTCAGATTTTTCATTTTTTGCCAATATCTAAACTCTACTTATCTGAGTTACCATTCAAGGTAGTTCTGTACTTTATTAAAAAGGTGAAAACGAGAAATTCTGTAAAAAACTGAATTAAATTACATATTTGGTCATATGACAAAATATGAATTAAAACAGAACATATATTTTGATAACAATCTATTTATATTATTTCTGCAAATGTTTAAATTTGCCTTTTGACAGTTTGATCATTACATTCTACATTTTTGTACAATTATGAGCTTTTATTTTTATAAAAATGCAAAAAACATACAAGTTCTTTCAAAGCATATGTTATAAATATACAAGTCAAAACTTCTAAATGTAATTACAATACATGTTCAATTGCTTGGTGCTTGATGTTTTCCATGTACATGTATTTTGTATATGTAAAACATATGTACAGTAGTGTACATGTTCTTATTAGAAGTACACTTTCCAAATGTAATTATTATATGAAACATCAGGTCCGTTGCCAGCTTTTGGTAAGGGACATACACTGTAAGTTTTTAAGAAATTCTAGAGGACATCAAATGTCGAAAATCACTTGAAAGTGCTCAAAGTGGTGAAAAACTAAATCATTTTTGGCTGGGGGTAATGAACTCCCCCCTGCTCCCTGGCTACGGACATGTACATAGAAGTGTTGCTTCAAGACCAGCATCCTTCCTCCCTTCTACACATCACTCCTCTATAACACTCTAGAGCTTAAGTACAAAAGGTAGGAAGGGGGATGTGGGGATTTGATGCAATACTAGAAACTAGGAATCAATGGTATTTACATTGCCTCTTAAAAATCATATAAACACCGTTACAGGAATCGGGGTTGGAGCCAGGATGTAAAATTTAGCAAGGCAATTTTGGAGTTTAAATCAAAATAACCCTATCATAAGATTTCATTTTCAAAGTTTCAGTTAAAAGATGTTTGAATTAATATTTTGGTGAGGCAAAAGCCTCCCTTGCCTCACACCTGGCTAACCCCATTGGAATACTAGCTTATGTTATTTCTAAATATTCTATAGAACAGACTACAGATAACATTAATAAAATTCTAAAATGACAACCAAATAATTGGAACTTCTGTGCATATGAGATGATACATGTAAGCTCCTGTAGATATTGATCTAGCTGTCTTTTGCATTTTTCCTGTTGTCACACATTTTGTGGTGAACTAATATGTTCATTTTATGTTGCCACCAAAGAGTTGTGACATATTGTTACTGTCACACTTCTGTGACTTGCATTCAGTATTGGCATCTGTAACGATTGTTACTCTTTTTTCATATGGTAATATTTTGTCATGTTAATGCCTTTTATTCAAAATATTATTGAGCTTACCTTGGTACAGAAATTCTATGCTACAATAAGGTAGAACTTGAGATATACTAGTAGGTCTATGGTGGAACTAAGTGTAAATGTATTTTATAGATATTATTCCCCCAATGTTTCCCAATACAAGACCTGAAGCCCTGTCAAAATTTATATCGCGTTTGTGCTGAGTCAGCTGTATGGTTGGTATCTTAAATCCATGATAAATGTTTTTGAGTTTTCCTAATGTTGACATGCATTATTTTCCTGGTAGATCATAACTGTTAACTTTTCCTAAGATTGACATATATTATAGATGTGATAATGCATAACTGAAGAGGATTGTTGCTAGAGACATTACTGGGACTGCTGCAGATCCTGTTGGTTTTTCATTTTCACGATCTGAAAATAGATTGATGTTATAAAAAGGGTAATTAAGTGTAAAGTCTCTGAACCTCCCCCGGCCTTGACCCCCTCCCCTTTCAGCTAACCAGGTGTTGAATCTAAAGGATGATTGTCCAACCTAAGAGATTATGATTCAGGCCATCTCTGATTATCTTCTTTAAATCAATATTTGCAAGACTACATTTGTAACATACAAGTTGCAGGTTTTCATCAAAAGGGCTTCAATTTGATAGTATTTTTAAGTGTACATTGGTACTCCTTCTCCCACCCACCTGCTCACCCAGTTTTTATGTAAGATGGGACCATGAGAAATTAATACAATATTACTGCAGATTATGCTATTCAAGTACCTCTCTCTAAAGTGACTGTCTCCTTGGCTTGACCCTCACTATTAGACACTGTCAGTGTGTAGTCGCGGAAATCTTTTGCATGGAGCCATTCGTCACGGACCAGGGCAATGGTCTGATTGTAGGACACACCCCCTGGTGAAGATGGGATCTGAAAGAACAGATTTAGATTATGAAAATGTTTGATTTCATTCCAAAGGTATTTAAGTATACATGGCATCAATATCAGGTTATTGATAAACTCGCATTTTATAAAACAAATTTTGTTTATTGAAATTTGTTATTTCTTGTGTTTTTTGGCCCACCCTGTAGCAAGTTTGAGGATAGAACTTGCATATGTGTTATTTTCATTCATCTCTTGCATGGTAGTTTTTTAAACCTACACTTAGTGAAGTCTTCTCGACTTTGGATGTAAAATAACAGTTACTTTAATTAGGATTTAATGTAATACTTAATTCTAATTATATCACATTATGCACTTTGAAAATATATTTGTTCTAAAATTAGAATTTTAATTGGAAATGAATAATTATACAAAGTTTAAAAACATTTTGTATTTAGGTTAACGTATGTAGGTAAACTTTATTGATTGACAATAATGGATTTCAACTTTGACATCTCTATATTTGCCCTTTCAAGTGGGAGTCTCACGCACCTTAATACATGTAAAAATGTCATTACTGTTGAAATCACATGTTTGTGTATACGCAATATACATGCAAAATTATATCATTGTAGAAACAGGTTAAACAGTAATATATGACTATTCAGATATCGTATTAGTTTCTACCAAAATATGTTCATTTTTGTGATGGTTATTTACAAACAAATAAGTTGACAGTCATTTAAGTGTACAGTAAAACCTGTCTAATCCAAACACCACTTGAACTAGTGTTTAAAAGTGTTTTGATGAGCAGGTGTTCTCATTTCCAAGTTTATGTGAGTCAATGGGGGATCATTATAAAATGGGACTGGAAAAAGTGTTCATATTTATTTGAAGTTATTCAAATTAGGAGGTGTTTGAATATACAAGTTTTACTGTATATGAAGTGACCTGTTTGCCTTGGCATTTGTTGCTAGAGGCATTGTTTAAGAAAAAGTTATCCAGTAAGATCACCCTTGGTATACGCAGCTAACGAAAATTGACCGGTACGGGTCAAAAGCTGGACCGGTACGGGTTAACGGTTTTATTTGAATTTAAAACAGCCATAACTTGCTCAATATTGACTTCCTCGTGTCTAATTTGAAATATATGATGCCTCCCGATGCTTTTAAGTACCCCAATTTTTTACAGATTTTTAAACAGACCAAAACTCTCTAAATGCGCATTTATGCTCTTTTCTCTCGAGAACGACTGTCTCATTTTCACGATAACTTTTATTTAGTACTTCTAACATATAAGATCTATTTTTCCCCATCAAGGTATGATGTAAATGACATGCTATTTACATCTTGTTAGTTTGAATGACGCGCGTTTGATTTTATAAAAAATGGCAAACTTTGTGACAAAGAATTTCATCCTGCTTGCAGCGAGAAGACGGACCGGTTCGGAGCAATCTGCTTGTAGCATGAAGACGGACCGGTTCGGGGCAATCTGCTTGTAGCGAGAAGATGGACCGGTTCGGGGCAATAGCTGGTGAAATTCTTTGTCACAAAGTTTGGCATTTTTTATAAAATCAAACGCGCGTCATTGAAACTTACAAGATGTAAATAGCATTTCATTTACATCATACCTTGATGGGGAAAATAGATCTTATATATTAGAAGTACCAAATAAAAGTTATCGTGAAAATGAGACAGTCGTTCTCGAGAGAAAAGAGCATAAATGCGCATTTAGAGAGTTTTGGTTCGTTTAAAAATCTGTAAAAAATTGGGGTACTTAAAAGCGTCGGGAGGCATCATATATTTCAAATTAGACACGAGGAAGTCAATATTGAGCAAGTTATGGCTATTTTAAATTCAAATAAAACCGTTAACCCGTACCGGTCCAGCTTTTGACCCGTACCGGTCAATTTTCGTTAGCTGCGTATACCAAGGGTGAAGATGTAAGCAAAAAGCTATTTGTATGAAAGTAGTAGCAAAGAATCGAGAGCGTACAATGATAAAGCAATCTTTTCAAAAGGTTTGTCAGTGTTTCCTATTCAAATTTAAAAGTTATTAAAGTTTAAGATGCAGACCTGTCCAAATTTATTAGTATTAAAAAGGTAATCCAATTTTTGGACTGTAAAATTAGCTTTAATTTCAAATGATTTTCATGTGGGAGGGGGGGGGGTTATAATTTAACCAAAAAAGAAAAGTAAGTCAGGACTTGCATAGAGCCATTTGTACCCAGAAAGAATTTTCTACCAGGGGCTACCCATTATACCCAACCAGACATAATTTTCCATTAGATATTTTAAGTGTACCATATGGTGACAGTAACTCACTCTATGCTCCAGTTGGAATTTTCCATTTGGGCTATCCATTGTACCCACCCACCCCTCTGGCAAAAGTAAATTATACTCACTCTAAGCTCCAGACGGAATTTTCCATTAGGGTTATCCATTGTACCCACCCACCCCTCTGGCAAAAGTAAATCATACTCACTCTGTGCTCCAGACAGAATTTACCATAAGGGCTATCCATTGTACCCACCCACCTCTCTGACAAAAGTAAATTATACTCACTCTGTGCTCCAGACGGAATTTTCCATTAGGGTTATCCATTGTACCCACCCACCCCTCTGGCAAAAGTAAATTATACTCACTCTGTGCTCCAGACGGAATTTTCCATGAGGGTTATCCATTGTACCCACCCACCCCTCTGGCAAAAGTAAATTATACTCACTCTGTGCTCCAGACGGAATTTTCCATTAGGGTTATCCATTGTACCCACCCACCCCTCTGACAAAAGTAAATTATACTCACTCTGTGCTCCAGACGGAATTTTCCATTAGGGTTATCCATTGTACCCACCCACCCCTCTGACAAAAGTAAATTATACTCACTCTGTGCTCCAGACGGAATTTTCCATTAGGGTTATCCATTGTACCCACCCATCCCTCTGACAAAAGTAAATTATACTCACTCTGTGCTCCAGACGGAATTTTCCATTAGGGTTATCCATTGTTACATTTTCCAGGTGTCCACTCTTTGAGGTGAATTGCCACATCATGTCATCCAAGAATGGGTAGGCGTACACATGACATGTAATGTTGGCTTCCTTATGGTAGTTGGGGAACTTTGCGGGTTGGCAATTGATCTGAGGGGGGCCCTCTGAAATAGAGTACAGCATGTAATTTATATGGACTGGTTTCAGGAATGAATAATCTATATTATAAAGGCTTTAGAGACTGTGCAGTTTTATATACTGATTTAAAGTCCACATCCCAAAATGATCCCATTAGGCCCACCTAAATCACAACTTATCTGTATGGTGCATTTTCAAATCAAAATTACAACCAGTGACTAGCGCAATTATTCCTAGCACAATTCATGCCCTGTACAATATGTGACATGGGTAGCACAACCAGTGACTAGCACAATCAGTCAATAGCACAATGAGTTATTAGTACAGTCACTAGCACAATCAGGCACCTACACAATATGTGACTATACAACCAGTGACAAGCACAACAAGCAATTCACACAATCACTTAACTACACAGTGTGTGAAATGGCTGGGACAACCAGTGAGTAGCTCAACCAGTAATGATAATAAACAGTTACTAGCACAATTAATCACTAACACAATCAGCTAAACAACGAGCACAATCAGTGATTAGAATGTAGATTTTCACTATTATTTTCTTATAAACCTTACATTGTTTTCAAATGGTTAATTTACAGTGTGCTAAATAGTATGTAATAACAGACCATGCCTTGATTCAGTTCATATCAATGTATTACTTCTTGAATTCAAACATATCAAGATTCCTAACTTCATTATCATGCAAGGTTAAATAGTCGATCAATCAATTAAATGTCTTGCAATTCCAATAGTTATACCATCACCTAAAATGGATTACATTCGGAAGTAATATTTACCTCTAGTTATTGATTTCAACTTCAAGAGTCGTTGAATGTTAAGAAGATGTAAATACGGTTCCTTTCACATACTGTTATTTAGAATGTTATTAAGGATGTTGGCTGGTTGGTTTGGGAAGGCTTTGTGATGCCACAATTATATACCTCTCAGCTCAATGCCACTCATGCCATTTACATTGTGAACACCTTTATCATTCACCATCACTATGGTAATGATCATTTAGTATACATGTCATTTACCTTTTGGTTTGTTATCCTGTGTAGTTGCTATGGCTACTGCACATATCAGTACCAGAGATCCTAGTGCATATTTAGTGTCCATCTGCAATATAGAAGAGAAAGATATTAGACTAGTGATTGTTGAACTCGAAGTACATTTGCCTAAACTGAAGGTAGACTGATATAGTTGGCCTTTTACATGTGCAAGAACCAAACTTGTCCCATTTTGTCCTCCTTAACATTTATAAGTGTCATAAAAAGCATAATTATAACTTTATGTGTGTTGCTTGATCATCCCAAATTCTCCCTGGCCTTTATTTTATTTCATTAACATGTACATGTAATATATCAGGATTTCTTACATTGTAACAATTTTTACCATTTTGGTGTAAAATTGAGAAAAAGATGAAAATCTGGTCACCTAGTCATTTTTCTACCCCTAGATTTATTATGAAGAGAGTAGTAAGGTGCAAAATGCAAAATTAAGAATTTTTTCACAAGAAGCTTTCATTTTTGACTTTCTTAAATGACCATCTCCTAATATATAATGTGTTAGCGTACCATCAAAATCATAACTGTTTATGTATATCTAATATGTCTAATTTTTGTGTCAAATAAGAATATTGAGGCTAAAAAACTTACTGTTTATATATTTAATAATCCTTATGATGAAATGTATGTCTCTTCCCTTCAAACCGCTCTCTTGAAAGAAATTAAATATTTCAATCTCAAATTCTCTCATATGACATAAGTAAATAAGACAGGGACCAATCAACTCTTAATATTTATTCAATCAATGGAAAGAATTGTGGGAAATGTCAACCTCCTCTGTCTTATATTTTAATAATTAGACAATGCACAGATGCGCCCTTTATGTTATGTAATATATTATATTTGTATAATTGCTAACATAAGGAACCTATACCAACATCTACATTCAAAATTGATTATTATTAAAGTGGCCATGCAATTTTAATTATATCCAAATGTTCAATGTATGACATATATATTGATTATAGTGGTTCATTATTAAAGGGTGTATACCCTGCATTTAATTATTATGTAAGTAGGTCATCATCATTTCAGGATGTATACCATTCTATATGGAAATTATCAATTAGAGACAAATTATCCACAACTAAGATGTTGGATAATGAGAGACATATTTTAATGTACACTCCCCTCCAAAAGTTTGGCATCTGCAACTCCCCTTTGGATCCTTTATCAATTGCAGTTTGTTTGGTGATTAAGTAAAATCCGTAAAACTTTTCATAAATCCAAACTATTGAGGAACAATTTAGATTCAAACATTGACGATGTTTGATATGCTACCCAATGAAAAGTTCCAGTTGCCAAACTTTTGGAGGGAAGTGTATTGCCAAACTTATGGAAGGGAGTGTAAATTCTCCACAATTATACATTTCCCATGTTCAATGGTATTTCTGCATTTCAATATTTGTTAAATTTTGATTTTTTTCATCCAAAGCCTAGTACTAGTTTAAAAATGAATGATTGAAAGGGTTACGCTGCTCAACGTAAGTTCATGAATAGACTAGATGCGAGTTGAAATAATCTTGAATTCCAAATTCAGTCAAAGTGATATCATATTTGTAATCTACATGTAAAATTGTAGAGAAATGTGTTTTTAAAAAGTGTTTATCAACTTTGAAAATTTAATTTTTTTTTGGAAATGTGACTTCAAGGTCGGGGAGATTCCCCATAGACCCCATGTTATGAAATCACAAAAAGTGAAACATCTTTTCTTGTATTGGACAGATAATATTTTCTTTTATTGGACATATTTTAATTTGTATAACTTTTAGATACACAAAGGTAATATAAAAAATCAACAACTTGAACTGATGAATATTCAATTTTAAGGAAACATTTTAATACCCTGCCATGTTATTAGCCACCTGCTGATGAAATGGTAACTACCTACTTGCATCTGGGTAATTGTGACCAGTGATATTTTTAGAAACAGACCCCTTACCAGTATTATAAATTGTGATCAATGGTATTTTTAGAAATGGACCCCTTACCAGTATTATAATTTTATCAATGGTATTTTTAGAAATGGACCCTATACCAGTATATTAGAAATGGTGATCAATGATATTTTAGAAATGGACCCCATACCAGTATTTCAAATTGGAAGCAATAATCAATCAGATAAACAAAGATCACACCAGTGTCTAATAACCGCACCAGACCATCAGTTATTTATCAGAAATCTATTTCTCAGTATACTTGCCTTGTTATCCAAAAACGTCCCTGGTTAGACCTTTTTAAGTCTTTTCTGAATCTTCCAATTTTTGAAATCTTAGATTAAAAGAGCCTTACTAACTACCACTTTAACATATGACTACATTACTTTTACCACAGTACATACTACTTTATGTTCATAAAATATTTTAGGGGATATCATTTGATTTTGAGAGATTTGTCTTACTATTCAAAAAGTACCAGAAGGTGCTAGTAGACTATAGGTCATATATATATAATTTAAGCGAACAAAATTAAATTAAATTTTGTCAAAACTACAGTGTACAATTAGTGCAGGGGGGGGGGGCATTCAACGATCATCGACCAGTGTCAAAATATATTTAAGTTTGGATATTTCATTCAGACTAACATATATTTTTATTATCTACAAAGAAACCCCCTGGATGAATATTATTTGAGCTGATATTCCTCTTGAAACGTGGTCCTTCAAAATCTATAAGTGGGACTCCCTTTATAGAAGCTTTAAACTGAATTTACACTTCTTAATGCTGAAATTGGTAGTTAATCCATACATTTTAAGAAAATAGGTATGTCAAAGAAGATGTTAAGTCAAATATTGACCTGATAGCTCAGAAAAAATTTTAATTTTCGAAATTTCTCTACAGTCCTTGTTGCCCCTTTAATGTAAGCATGTGCTTGAATGTATGTATAACTGCATAGTAATAAACATCTCCCATCATGTTACATATTATACACATGTCATATACTTCTTGTAACATAAGTACAATTATATAATAGATAATAAATTTATTCACTCCAATTAAATGATAAATAACTCAATGCATTCCTTTATTACACATGTAGTACATGTATTATTATATGTTATTATGTATGAATGGAAGTAGTATGCTGGTATTAAAGAGACCATTTCAAATTCAGGCCACATTGTGTTTATGGTTTGTTTTTAAAAATGAATACTATTTTTCTGTTTTCTTTTTTTATCTGACATTTACCTGAAGAAACATACCTTTAATAGTAACATCAGCCTCAACAATTGTTAATCCATAATATAGAAACCTTATTTCTATAGGGTTTCTGAATTATGCATAATATGTGGCCATGCAGACATTTTTGTTCATACAAGCACTTAAACAGTATAAAAACATTTTTTTCTCATTTTAAATAGTTTTTATGAATGGATTCAGGTTAATGCAATCCAATATTGTAGAGTGCCTCATCTGAAAGCATAACTGCCTCCCCTCCCTTTCATTAATGCCCACCCCTCCCCTACAAATATGTAATTAGCCAAGTTAATTATTTTGCTCTCCCTAACCTCAGATAATTTGAACAGCAAGACAACTATCAGTTGGCAACAGTTAAATTTTGTGGCTCAGTGTTAAGCATTACTAGTGACTGGTCACTATTGCAATGAGCCTCATGAAGATGTTTTCAATATGGTCAGTTTCACTCTCACTCACATCAGATCTATTCTGTTTTATACATGCAAATCAAGTGCATCAAAAAGAAATAAATGTATCATGATAAACCATGAGATCTCATTTTTTCTCACCCTGAGATTTTCAGGTTAAACAGAAAGATGCTATGAGTATCAGAATGAAATAAATGTGATTTTCAAAGCAATTGGTGAAAGATCTATATTGCATTGAAGTTATTTTCAACAACTGCCCCTCCCTGGATAAATCATATTTTGTATTACCTTATCTTATATTTATTATAAACATTGGCGATTATATATACAGGCATGACTTTTAACCTTTTTAATGTAAATGTTGACACCTTTAAATCAATGTGCTTGACAGATTGATTTAAATTCTCTAGATTAACAGATTGAAACTTGATTTTTTAAGAAGGGAAAAGTCGAATTATTTTTATGACTTAAAAAATTATTATTCCAAGATAACTTTCATCCATGTAAATTTTAATTGAATCCAGACTGATGAACCCGAGTCTATTGCAATATGCAAGTTTCTTGTGCATGTGTATATGTCTACTTACTATATATTAAATTCTGAACATATATATAAATGCTTATACATGAACATGTTACTTACCTTCATGCCGCTTGCCAGTATGTGCTGTTTAGTGAATGAAAGTTCAATCCATAACTTGGCTAGGAACTGGTACTACAGAGTGGCCCAATCAATATATCTCAATTTTTACTGAGTGTGTTTACTATTATTACCACCTTGCCGGGCCAGTTCTAGGGGTTTTAGTGCTAGTTTAGAAGGCATTCATTTTACTAAATCGACCTGAGAAATGTTTGATGTCATAGTGGTGGTCCATATGGACCGGTCTAGAATATATTCTGGACCGGCAATTTTCCCCAGGAAATTAGATATCGTTCAATGCATAAGATTTTCTTGCTGTTTCAGTTCTGGTCGTTAACGGTGGTAATAATACTAATAACGTTATTTCTGCGAGCAATATAGTGAAATATTTCACTATATTACCCTTAGAAATGACGTTATTGTACTATTAGTACGAGCGCATGGTGAGACAGCGCCTATAAGGATGCTAGCTGTTCCATTAATGCATTTCTAGTACAGGTTGGGCTAGTGAACTTTTCTCATGTTATGTTATATACCAGTGGATAGGGAATTGAATTACCTTTACTAGAGTCCATTTCACTGCTTCATTTCGTCAGTAGAACGGCAAAAATAAGAAATTGGGAGACCATTGTGCAATAATATATGGAAAAGTATATTCATAATGTACATGTATGAATGACATTTGTATATTTCAGATTTTTTAGTTTTTTGTGCAATAAGCCTGTGCCCTCTTGTAATTTGAAGAATTTCAGCCATGTTAATCTTATTGAAAATAACATGGCAGAGAAACATCTAAATATAAGAGGCCGCACACTTTATAAGCCAAACTAGAAGCAATCCAAGATATACAAATGTCATTCATGTACATTATGAATGTACTTTTCCATATATTATTGGACAATGGTCTCCCAATTTCTTATTTTTGCCGTTCTACTGACGAAATGAAGCAGTGAAATGGACTCTAACTTACTGTAAAATTGAGTCTTAACTAATGCAGTACAATATAATACAATACATTACAATACAATGCAATACATTACAATACAATACAATAATACAATACAATAGAAGGTGTAACTATTTCTGCTCTATAAACAAATTGACAAACCAATGGAACTGAAAACCAGGGCTCAAATAGCATCCTTATAAATCAGATTGGAGTCCTCATTCAAGGACAAATTGGGCTTTTAGGTATATAAAGCTCAATAGAAAATAAAGCTGGAACCTTCAATTTTATTTTGAAATACAAAATAAGTTTGAATGAACATATTGATACAACACATGAATACATTGACAAGGCATATGTTTTGTTTGAATGCATTCAAATGAAATTGGTTAATTCTGAGTGAATTGGTACATGTATTTTTCTATGTCAAAAATTTTTCCATATGTTATATCTGTACAATTATTAACAAACTAACTTATTCTTTGAAAATGGGAATATGGGAGTCTAACCTCATATCTAGGATTACCTAAGAAGTAATGCTTACAGTTCTTTGAACTGGAAGAAGAAAAGTGATGTTAAACACAGATATAAATTAGATGGGGCATATACATGTATTTATCCCAAAATACAATTCCAAAAGGGCCGTGTTAGATGAAGGCATCAGGTTGTAATTCCCCACTTTTACTCCTACTACCCCCCCCCCTCCCCCCTCCTCCAGTATTAGTTAGAAGAAAAGCTCTTAGTTATACCTGTGTAGGGCTCCTAACTCCCTAATATCAATTTCCTTATTTGATCTATTTGCAGGAGTTTTTTTTAAAGTGGCATAAGTTGTACATATATGACAGCCTATTGTCACCTTATGGTAAAAATCAGTTAGAACCCTGGTCGAGTACGAGGTGCTTAGTTATAGGTATGACATCTATGATGCTTAATGATTAATGGTTTGACATAACATCTTTATGATGGTCTGACATCTTTTTCACATTATTGTAGGGAGATGCACATGATGGAAATTTTGATGTTTATTATTTAGCAATATTTGAAAATGTTTTTTTTAAACTTTTGATTTGGATATTTGATGGAGTTCAAAATCAAATTATTGTAATTATATTTTGACCTGACATCGCCCTTATTTTGATGTTAAATGTTTTGTGAAAGTGTGCAACTACCTTAAGGGGACCCAATCTTTTAGTGACATCCTAAGAATCAATACTTTCTCATATAATTCTATAAATATGAGCAGAAGCTTGGTATAAGTCTTTAAATGGCGAAAGAAACAGACCATTTGGATTTATAATGCTAATTCTGCACAAATTAAGGAAGTTAGGCCCCTTTAGGTAAAAATGATGTGCCTCCAAATGAATATGATGTACTTTCAAATGATCCAGTCACTGTTAAATTAACTCCTTATTCTATCTGTGTAGGTCAATTCACTGTCCTACTGGGATGATTGTTTTTGGACTATTCACAACGTTGATCATAGCAGGATTTTCATACAAATATTATTGGCAGGCAAAACGTTTCGACTTCACAGGAGTTGTGAATTGAATCGCAATGAACAAGATATTTTATCCAAAATCAGAATGGATAATTTCCAAAAGTTACCTCATTCTTAATATTTCTTTTAAAAAGCTTCACAGATGTGAATGATGATATATTTGTGATCTATTTGATTTAACATGAAAATAAAGGGACACTTTATATAATAATATACAACTCATTATGTAACATATTCCCAAAATGTAGATATATCATTGCACTTGTCAATTTCAGGTTTGCCCAGACTGATGGATGGAAGGTCACTTTATTTATAGAGCCCCATCGCATGCTCTATTCTACTCTGACCTTTGGAGAAACTGCAAAATGTATTTGGATTTGAGGCCTAGATTTTCTACATTACACTGACTTACACTGGAGAAGATCTACCTTAAGGAGCAACAAACTCCAAAATGCAAAGGATAAGAAATTGTTCAGTCAATGCTAATCTATTGATATTAGCTATAAGATAAACAAAATCATGAAAATCAGAATGAGTGCTGATGACCCCCCATCCCCCTCTTAAGGTCATATGGTTCTGGATGAACGAGCAGTGGATCTGGCTAATCAAAATTTGGCCAACATTAATTGGTATACTGTATACAATATACATTGAGCACAGCAGATCATACTGCTTATTATCCAAATCATGCTAATGATCAAACCAAGCAGGGTAGGTGCATCATTAGATTTCATAATACCAAAAAGTATTAAAAATATGGTTATCAACGTTTGGAGCAGGTATTTTACTACATGCTTGAATAGTGGAATCGTCAGTCTGTCCCATACATAATACATATATGACACACCTTTGAGAGCCACTGATATAAAAGTGAGACTCAAATAAATAAATAAATAAATGTAAAATCCACTGGTCTTGTCTTAGGCGTCAGTACTTATATATCACAGCTTTATTTTATAGACTGAGATTTCTTTGTTAATGCCTTGGTCACATTTGCTCCGAATTTCACTACGGCGCCCGGCCGATTGAGTATTTTGTTCAAAATTGAATACAATATTGAACAAAACACTCAATCAGCCAGGCGCTGGCAGACGGATCGGAGCAAATGTGACCCAGGCATAGACAGAAAAGGCAAATAGCAAATATACAAGAATCAAGTCTAAAACACATATTTATTATGAATCATCATCTGAGTTTATTACAATCAAGTTGAATTATACATCTATGCAGAGTTCTAACATACATTATTGAATCGAAAATATATCTCAAGGTTCATGTAATATACACATTTAAGGTAAATATGTATATATAGTACATGCAATATATAAATATACATATAAATCATATATGTACAGTAAATGTATGTGAAGTATGCAGTAAGACATGTAAGTGGAACACCTCTTGAAATGGAACACCTCTGTATGTGGAACACTTCGCAAGTGGAACACTTTTTAGTGTCACCAAAGGTCTTCCATTTGAACAGGTTTTACTGTATATTCTACACTTGTTAATATATCAAAAACATGTATTAACTTTGTAAATATACATCATGCATGTAATATATATATCAAACAAATGAATGTACATCTACATATAACATATAAATATGTATATTTAAACTCAATATACATTTTAATGTAAATATACATATAACATATAAAATATGTAAATTGGGTGTAAATGTTCATACCTTTAAATCTGTATCTTACATGTAAACACACTACATGTACATCTCTAAGGATCATTTACAACATCAGAATCTAAAATTCTCAGAAATTCACAGATCACGAAATGAAAAAAGTACATCATCTATAGATAGCTGTTTCAATATGAAACTATCATACATTTGAATTCGTATTTAGGCCACAATCAATTAAAAATGATAGGCAATGTTTCAAAAATGTACAAGTGAGCTAAAGGCCCACAACATCTAGAGCATGATATCTAAAAGTGTATAATCTTATACCACTGTTTGAGTTATAAAATGATAGTATAAATGTGGACTTGATCTACTCCTACACTGTATAGAATACATAGTCACCCATATTTCACCCATATTTCACCCATAATTCACCCATAATTGCACATGAACTCATGAGCAATATTTTCTGAACACCATATCTTCAACTCACAGGGGCCTGGAGCTGTTGGTTCTTTACAAGTTACCATGACAGAACGGTATCGCCATCTTTACTTAAAGCTTTAACTTGCATTGCATTACATCCACAGTCAATACTAAAATGAATGCCGATATAAGGCGCTTGATAGATGATAAAATCATAAAATCATTACTATATCACACTATCAGAGATGCATATGTCTAAATAGTAAATGCTCTCCTGGCTGGTACACTGGGTCAAAAATATATAATAGAGCATATGAAAATTGATAATGATAATATTGTTGAGGTCACTGGATAATCTGGTTTGAATGACATCATCAATCGTGTTTGTATGACATCATCAATCGTGTTTGTATGACATCATCAATTGTGAATCAACTGTATGACATCATAAGCCTTGTTGGTGATACATATTTACAAGTCATATGAAGTATAACTCTATCTATCAAATTTGGCTGAATTGCACAATAGTGCGGCAGTGATTTGCTGACAACATACAACAATTACCACAGACAACATGGATTAATAAAATAACTAGATTTTCCTCTTTTTATTTATTAATCCAAGAAGTCTTACAAATATACCCAATAGACCTTGATGTTAAATCAATGGCTGATAAAATAATAACCAATATTTGGTAGGACCATCCCATTATGCATTAAGTATTCCCTGTGTGCTACCATTCCTACAACTAAACCTTTTTGAGACACCTGTGCAAAATGTTTGACACATTTAAACATGTTTGAGACACCTTAGTTTTTAGAATTTAAGGACCACAACCAACAAGTACATGTATACTTCAGATTTCATTTTGATTGCTGCTACCATGCTATGAAAGAATTGATGGATTTCAAAACTAATCTAGAACTTTGAAATTCTAGCGAAATATACAACCTTCTAATTCATTTGTGATAATTTATATTATATTATTATTACTATGTCGTGGCGTTATTAAATATGAACTATCACAACAATAACTTTGTACATCTTTCACTATATATACACATACAGATCATACGATAATCATTAATAATCAGTCAAAATCAAAGCATATATACATAAACTCACTGTATGTTACAAAAAGGAAGGTTTTCGTGTTAAGCCAGTGAACGTAATAGACACTGATCACATGATCCTGGTATATCTTTAACACTACCAAAAAAAAAAGATTTCCACTGCTAAACAGTTTTGTGTTAACTAAAATGTTGCAGAAGTAAAAAATACAACATGTTGAATTGTAGATTAGAAGTACTAAAATCGATGAAATAAATTTGCATAATTTCATACAAAGCCCTAATGAAGCAAGAATCTTTGGTTGAGTTATTTACCAATTATAAATAATAGTTACATAAAATGGAATCTTCAGAAAAAGTTCCAAATAATCTGTAACAATAACAATACAATGGCACACTCAGAATAGGTTAAAACAAGGATTGAAGTACCATGGTACCATTCAAGTCAGAGTAAGACTCTAGTGGGTACTATAAACTTCATATTTCCACTGTGTAATTACATGGTATATGAGAATAATATATACACAAGTATGCTCCTATCTGATAACTGACCAACTTGCAAATACCATACATTGATATTATCAACAAATCCAAAAGTCATGATTTCCCATGATTCACTCAAATACATAATGCAACATTTGAAGCAGACTATTCATACATGGTAAATACAAATATTCTATTAAAAATAAAAAGTTAAGTCAAGAAGCAAACAGTACAGTATGAAATAATACAGAAGTAAAGTCAAAATTTAGTAATCATATAATTATAAGATATTAGAATATCTTCAGGATTTCCCACAATCCTCTTGGCTATATCCCATAATGCAACAGTTCGAGCAGAAGATTCATCCCTGATGTTTAAGTTCACACATTGCAAGGTTTTCTAAGTCGGGAAGCTGATAATATCTATTTGGCAGGCGAATATGGACACACGTTTAACATATGTATGCGTGTATGTACATATCATTGCATCTAAATCTTGTATTTTCCAATTTTCCATTTTTAGGCTTTTTATGATATACTCCTTATTTTCCAAATTATTGCATAATTGTTTTTTATTATCCTGAATTATCCTTTTTATAATCATCTTGTGAACCACGTTCAATTTTTTTTTCCTATAAAGCTTTCGCAATGTGTTGTCCTTTGAGTTTGGAACAGTCTACATCCCATAATTGTCTAGAGTAGAGCTCTTCATAAGTGAAGATAGAAAATGGCACTTGCTACTAGGGTGACGAAGGATACAGATACAGGTCTAATGGCGTCTCCACTTACTTCACGCGTCTTATCTGAAAGTAGAATATAAACATGAAATATTCACTCTGTCTAGAAACATTAAACAAAACTCTAAATATTTGCCCAGATAATAACAAAATGATAAAAAAACTTCAAGTTTAAAAATGAAAATGAGTAATTCTCAGATAATTATTACAATCAATTAATCTTTAAGTTTAATGCATTGTGTAATGTGTTTCGCATATTCAATTCTACACATAATTAATTTTGTCAAGTGATGGATGGTTAAACTTTCATTTACTAAAAAATTATTTTGGGGCGTTTCAAAACAGTCTTATGTTTTTGCATGTCATTGGGTGATATGACTGCATTGTGTAGAATTCAGGGCAAAACCCCCGGAGTTCAAAAATGAATTATATTTTGATATTTCTAAAAAATAGCCTATTCCCACAACAAACATATCTCCGACCCTTTGATAAAAGCTAAGCATTTATTCCATGATGGTGAAATTCCCTGCAATCTGATTGGTCCATCTGACTTAAATCTATTCTGTATACACACAATCTCGGCTTATATCGTTGGATACCGTGAAAATGATGTAAGCTTTGGGATACGGCCCAGTATCCCAAAACCCCAGATTTCCATCCAGGATATGACTCTTACGGAAAAATTTGATGGTGATTAGTTTAAGCTGACACGTGCTTATCTTTGCACTTTGCAATAAATATCTGTTTTCAATATCAGGAAATGATACTGTGATCATCGCAATTTATAATTTTAGGATAAAAAACATGCATCTGTAAATATAATAAATCAATATGAAGCATGCACATTGTTTTCATGAACTCTAATAGTAAAAATGCAATATATCAAAAGAAAGTAAAAAATGTTTCGCTATACTGCACTTTCAGCTGATGATATTGCAGAGAAAAGACAGAAAAGTAAATGTACCGTTTTATACTATAAAAACAAACAACAAGGCCGAAAAGATTTTGAAGGAATATCGATCAAAAATAGCTATGAGGTGAGAAGGAAATGGACTTGATTTCGAGGGGGGTTTATCTGAATAATCATGGAACAAAAACATTATTCAATTGAGCCTCGTGAAAGCCTCTGCTGCTAGCGCATCATGAAATACAGACCTTCTCGGGCAGAATATTTTCTGTATTTAACTCGAATCAATGAAGAGTTTATAGTATTGTAGAAGGGTTGTCAAAAGAGTTTTGAAATTTTGCTCTTCTTCAAATTCAATATTTTGTTATTATATTTCAATGAAATACATACATGATTATATTATTACAGCCCTGTCAACATTTTTTCAGTTAAGCAAGTTACATGCACAAAAGAGCTCCAAACATAAAAGCCATTTTGCAACTTGACATATGACAAATATTGTTTACCAAAAATCACGATTCTTTTTTAATTTCTTTGTTTCTATTTAGGTCAATTACACATTAATACTTTTTTATACACAAAGCGAACATCGATTATGTGTATGCTTAGCTATAAATATCAACACATATACAGCGTGACCCCCCCCCCCCCTTCCCCCCATTTCCCCACCCAAAATCATGTAAGAGAAAGAGACATAGTCTGATGCGACGTATAGACACATGAAGCTATAATTGCATTTAAGCGACAGTGACTTCCTACTTACTGACTACATGTCATAAAATTCAAAAGATACACAATTAATAACTTAAACAATATGCATGCATCTTAATAGAATACTTTCTTGAATAATTACAAAGTACGAAATGTGACATGTGTAAATTGTAATATAATATGCATTAGAGTCTTCAGTTTTCATCATTCAATCTAGCATTAGTAATTATAAAATTAATATCACTCCGATAGAATGATTATGGCTCTATAAAACATGAAAATGTGTCAACACTTAATGTTATTCAAATCATTACAAAAGTGTAACAATTTGTCACACAAATACCTAACACCAACCCCCAACCTTAATGCAGTATACTAGTACCAGTCAGCTACAGGTATATATGTCACAATTTCTTAGTGGTGACACAGAAACGTGTTAACATGTAGTAAATACAAGCTTCGTCCATCTTAGAATCTGAGTCCTGGCCATTAGAAATAATCACCATCAGTCAATATATACAGGGTGTGCCAAAAAAATTGCAACTCTTTAGATTTTTTGGTACACCCTGTATTATCTTTTGCCGATATCACATATTCCATCCCTAAATAAATAACCTCTATAATGACTTCTACCATTTTAGAATCTGAGCCCTGGCCATTAGAAATAATCACCATTTGTCAATATATTTTCTTTGGCCAATATCACATATTCCACCCCTCCAAATAAATAACCTCCATAACATCTTACCTCTAATGACTTCTACCATTTTAGAATCTGAGCCTTGGCCGTTAGAAATGGAGAGTTCGTAGTTACGAAAATGTTGTTGATGAATCATTCCAATGCGGAATTTCACTTCAGTTGTATCAGCATCTTTCTGTAGGGAGAAAATCAAAACATTCATGAAGCACAGAAGCACCATGGTATGTCATAAAGATCTCGTGACAACTGGTTGGTGCTGAATTATAGGCTAATGTGGCTAATAATGCTTTAAGCCTAGCCGCAGCACTATATTGTACTTTCTTTATCATATAAATAAATATATATAAAAAAAAAAAATTATAGGAAAAGTTTTGTAAGAACAGGTGAGATGAAGTAGAGGGAGGGGGTAAATATACATCGTCATATTGAAAACTGTTTTACGAGTGAAATTCAAATCAAAATGTTGTGTAACATTTCCCACCATCCTTAAATGATCCTTAAAGCACCGGAGTTTCTCACAAATAGGCCCATGGGCATTTATTTGAAAGAGGTGTGTATCAATTTATACTCACAGATAGACTACAAAAGTATTTTCCTTCAGATGTTGGCTTAGATGAGTTGGTATCACAGGCTAGTTTCTCAGTTGAGTTCCTGTCGTCAAATCTGTCCCATGACCATTCAATCATCGTCAATGCAGGGTTGGCCTTAGCATGGCATGTCACTACAGCGTTCTTTTCATACATAGGAAATGAAACGGATGGGGGGCAGTTTAGCTGGGCAGCATCTATAACGAGAGGTACCTTATTTGAATATGTATAATTAGTCAGGTTAAGATACATAAATTAACAAAAAAGAAGGGATTATTGTCGCTCTCTTATTTGGTTTGTATAAAAAAAAATTTAACTTGTTAAGTTAAATTACAAAAATGATACTCATCAGATGTAGAATATAGACCAATCAAAGAGTGAGGAATATGACAGTGAATAATAATCCTAGCCACTTCAGTAAATAAACTGACTTACATATCATTTTCAGCTCAATTGAGGCAGTCTGCTCATCAAAACCTTCCACCTTTGAAACACATTTTAAGATGTAGCCACTGGATTCTGTGCTGGCTTTCCACTGTGGGTAGGCAAGTTTATGTGAATACATGATACTCTTAAGGCCTGTAAATACAATTATGTATAGTATATGTACATGAATAGCCTTTTCTATAGTTAGCCTGTGATTCTTTCTTTAAAAGAGTGCTTCATATTATTACTTACTGGGATCTAGAAATCTGGGTGTTCATAAAACCAGTATATCTGAACACCTTTACAGACTACAAAATTTACAAAATGTGTGGAGGGATCATATAATTTTTTGAGAAAAAATGAATATGTGGTATGTTTACATGAAAATAGGCCATATATACACCAAGCAGCCAATCTAACCATCATTGACCCTTTACAGGACCCAGGACCAACTGTGCCTTGGATTAGTAATATATATATTTTGTTTAAATAAAGGAACAATAAACTAAAGCTAATAAAAAAATAAATCTCACCATCATTATCGATTCCAACAACTTCTTTAGGTTCATTTGTTGGCATGTCGTTTGTGATCTCCATGTCACCAACAAACATCTGAACCATGGGTGCAGGGTTGCTTCCAGACACCTCACACATTATGTCGATTGGGGCGCCCTCCTCTAGCATAACGCTGTCTGTGTCCCTCTGGGTGCTACCTCCGACTGTCAGGGTCAGGTCAGTCGAGTCAGCTATAAAAACATAATCATTTATTAATCGAATGAATACCTTTGATACGTTTACATTAAAGCCTGTATGGAGTTGCACCTTTCTTTGGGAACATTAACCGTAATGCGTACAGACTTCAGAGGGTTTTCCACAGCTTTTATTGGTGACCCTTTTATTATATATTAATGCTGCTCTATGGTCTTCTATTTTTAATCTTGTATTTTGGGTGTTGAGCTTGTTTTGGTACAGCTGTTTCTTGCAATTTCTGAATGTTTCAAAATCATTCAATCATTTGTTCTGACATCATTCAATCATTTGTTCTGACATCATTCAATCATTTGTTCTGACATCATTCAATCATTTGTTCTGACATATCCCACTTAAACTAGCTGTACTGTATATGGAAAATACCATCAGAGTGAATGATGTTTAAATCGGTCAATTATGCTGCCAATATGTGTCAATATGGAGCCGGAAATCAATGAAACATTAATTAAACATCAGAAACCACGGCAGAAATCAAATAATAATTATGAGCCCTTGTCAGATAACCATTATTGGAATAAAACTAGCATGCAGTCTTTTGTGTAGTACTCTCAGAGGAAGAGGTTTGCATCTGACTTGATCTGAAGTATGCATTTATTCTCCCAGAATGGAATATGGGAATGGGATAAATAGACTGTACACTCTACTGTCTTAATATTCCATTGGAAGTGATTTAAAGTGAATTTTAAAATGATATGATTTATCAGTGGTAATTTTGACGACTGAGTTCAAGGTTGATTTTGGACAGTGTTCTCAATAACCGAAAAATACAACAATTAAAGTGCAATATCATTTTTCTGAACAAATAAAATATGTAATTAATTCTATTTTCATGTAAATGATACGATTATTTCAATCTTCCTCAATTAACCTTGATGATTAATCATATTTCAGCAAACATATCAAATACAATTTATAGCTTCCATATTATCTCCCATCTCTAAAAATAAGGTTAACCATATGGTGAAATTTGGGAGCCCTTAGTTATTCTGTCAAAAACTGTATAAATTAGACTTTTGAAAACATATAATAAATTATGACCATATATGTACGGTATATACCCAAGAGGTATTGCTCACCTTCATTGGTGGTAAACAAAATACAATACAATATAACAAACATATATTTCTACTAAAAATCCTCATTCTTCACCAAAACAAAAACCCCAAATGATGATCTAACATCAAATGTAGCCTTAATGAGTGAGGAAATGTTTTGGTGAGTCTTTTTTCCAAGGACTGATGATGAATTTTATCTTGTAGCCAAGCAGGCTGTCATTCCAGGCCTCAATTCTTTGTATCTCAAATTGAATCTGAGTAAATTACTTTTTTAATTATAGAAGACAGCTAATAACATGTTAACTAATGCATTCATACCACAAATACAAATGATGGAAAAACATCATGCCCATAATGAGATTTTTTTCTTTTTAGATATTAAAAAATAACTGTACTGTACTGTCATATGGAATATAAAAGATACACTTTTTATATATGCAATGCATTCTAAATCTAGTATAACTCCTCTATTTTAAAAACCGAGCACACATCTTTTAGGATTGAAGAAGTCTTGTATCAATCCTGATCCTCTCCCCCATATTGTTGAGGTGATTCGTGTTAGAGAGGGGTTCATAAGGGGTTGAAGCAAGACTAAAGCCTCAGTCACATTTGCTCTATGGCAGGCGGACGGCGGCTGTAGCTTCAGAAAATCGATACAGAAAATCTACATCGTACTGCTTATCCCAATACTTTATGCTAAATATTTCTTGATTTTGGGATGCTACAGCCGCTGTACAGTTGCCGTAGATCAAATGTGACAAAGGCATAAGACATGTGAATACTCTAGGCCAGTCCTAGTAGAGTTCAGGTTAGAAATGTTCAACTATTTATGTATTTGGAGTTGACTTACATGATACAACTACTGTCTGGAAGGCTTGTTCTCTCTTAGAGGGCATTCCACAGCCAATCTGACCTGCATCTTCTAACTGGATATCTACAACACATCAAGAAAATGATTAGTGACGTGTTATACAGTTTGGATAACTGAAAGTTATTGTTATTATTTACAAAAGATCGCTTACTCCATTGAAACTCTCACTCTGCATGCACTTTAAGCAAACTGTATATTATCACAATTCTAAAATGGTTTAGAGCGTTGATATATAATCTTCAAAATGGGTTTTGTTACCTTTTCCAACTTGCTTAAAATTAAATGAAATGACCGCAGCTCTGATTGGTTGAATGAGTTCAGAAATTTTCAGTAATTTGAAGAGTGTATCTAAATGCTCTTGAAAAGATAATCATTCAGAGTTCAAAATTTTTTCCAAAGGGTACATACTTGCAATACTGAGAGTATAGACCTTCTCATCGGGAGAATCAGCAACAGCGGCTGCGTAGCGATTAGTATCAGCGAATGGGTAGTTAATGAAAATATTTGTTCCTATGATATGGATCTTATCATCGTCCATTTTCTTATTCCAATTGATGAAATCTCCAGGAGTGAAACCCTTGATTCTACAGTGAATTTTGACATCTTGGCCTACGATTGGTTTAGCTGTCGGCTCAACGACAACTGTGATGCTGCCTTGGGCGGCTACACCTGCAAGCATAGAGATGTAGAATATATTAGGAGTTAGCAAGATAAGGGTATATTTTAATATATATTCAGTGAAACTTGTTCATCCAGACACCTCTTTAATCTAAACATCTCACAATGTGAACAATTTTCCTCAGTCCAGAATTTGTCTCCCATTGACTCACATATCTAAAACCTTGAAATGTGAACATAGTAGGCTCCATATGTAATCCAACTAGTATGTAAGTTTGAGGTATATAATAGATGATATTGGAGCTCCAGTCCAGGATAAAGATATAATATAACATATCAGTACCTAGAGATATTGTATAAAGTTATGACCATCTGGGAAAGCAGGGGATAAAATGCATATCCATCACTCTCATAATAATCAACTGGTATGTATGTTTGGTTATAATCAATAAAAAAAAATATATATATTGCTATATTTACAAAATGAGATCATAAACCCATAATCTCCCATAAAGCCACAAAAATACTTGAATAAATATTTGGATAATCCTCCCATCAAGGAAATAATGATTCTGGACTGGCTCAAAATGGAACTAATAGGTTTTTCTCAAATAACTCATTCTACTAATATTCTGCACATAGCAATCAAATCAGGCAATTTATTAGAGAAATCTGAAGTAATTTGTCATTTTACTATGGCGATTTTGAGTAGAGCTGCTCACTCTCAGTTTAAATTGAAATTGAGGGCATTTATGACGTAAAACAGAGTCAGAGATGGTAAGGAACAACTCTTATAGCTAACATCCCTTGGTATTAATACATTGAGCATAGAACAACTTTAGCCAGAATATAAAAATGAGAATTGTTCTTCCAGATGGAAAAATATACTTAGGGGCACTCTAAGCCCGCCTGGTTAACATCTCTTACTAGCAAAGATTTAACGTAGAAAACACCTAGTTGAGTAGGAAACACCAGATGGTAGGAAACACCTCAGAACTTTAACAATCTCTCAATAGAAAACACTTATTCCAATCAAACAATTCTCATAATTCAATATATCTCAGACTGAAAAGCATGTTGTTTACTGTACTACTATGCCTTTCATTGACTTGAAATTGTAAATGCGTATTGATCCATTGATCTCAGAATCAACAGCAGCTGTATCCAAGACCTTTTACAATATTATAATTTATATTACAAGTAATCTCATTTAATAAGAGCAACTGGGCGCAGCGCCCAGTCTAAAATCTGAAAATGAGAGAGACCCCTCCCTGCATTTGAAAATCTCTGCCAAAATTACGAAACATTGAGATATTTTGATAAAAACAGGTTCAGAGGATTCACCAAATCCAGGGAGATCATACCTTTTGCATAATGTTAAACTTTGTCTCCTATGAAGGGATCGGGGTCATTTTCTAATGATAGAGTTTTCGATTTCTGGGATGTTCCAAACATTCAGGTGACATTTTTGTAGATTAATAAAATCCCACAGCATTGATTATAAAACATATGCTATCTTTATAAGCTCTATTTACGAAGAGTTAAAAAGAAAAGTTGATTGCTTTCACCTCTTATATAGCAAATTGCCTCTGATCTTTTTGAATATAACTGAGTCCGAGTTGACAAGGGTCCGAGTTGACCAGATACCGATATATTGGTAGCTATTACTTAATGAATATAAATATTACCATTCATTAAATCATTATGGTATTTCAAGATGTGCAAGAAAAATGTCAATGATTCAATATGCAATGAATTTACATGTATACACAGTAGTTACTATTATTTACATAAGAGATAGATACATGTACTGTATATATTTATATTTCCCATGTGATGTTTTCTCTATAAGTGACAAACAACTGCCATCGATATTTTTGGACAAACATACCTATTATAACTAGCCAAATAATCCCAAATTAAATTTCACAATTTGCGAATGAATTTTCACCTCCATACAAGATGGTGAAGCTTTGATGCTGAGGGGAGTACTCAGTATAATAGCATTGAATTCGACCTCTAGAATGCCCCCCCCCCTCCCACACACACACACTTAATACCTCCAACTCTAATAGGGGTAGATGGGTGTATAAGGGGGTACAAGGACTTGAAGTACAAGATAGGCAACAACAAGACATTCTGATACTCATTACATCTCTCTGCCTTCATTAAGAAATATGAAATATATTCTAAAAGAAGCTAATAGAAGGACATGATTTTTCATGATGTCAGCAGCAAGATATTACACATACATTTTACTGAAATCAACTTATTAAACATAAAGATTCCATCCTGACAGCCTAAGGCTTAGTACACTGTAGTAGTAATTTCTTAAAATGAATGATGTCCTCTTAAAAAAGGAAGTCAACCTACTAAAAGGGTAATTAGACCTATTCATGACAAGATAGATTATCACTTTTAATCTTCTCTAATTCACTAATTTTCCAGAAGCTAATAACTTGGTTAATGTGAAGCCCCTGTCCAATATGACAATATTACAACCCCCATATATATTAGTAATGTCAAGTTATTTTAAAAACCACCCCATGTTACTTTAAGGAAACCATTAAACGAATGGTCAGTTTTTATTTGATCACTGTAGTTTTGTCTGGGCTACTAGCTGCTATTACCATAAATGTGTTCATATTCTGTTAATAGATGTCTCTATTGAATATAAGTTTGAAATTGTACATGACCAAGAAGAGCATCAATGAGAGGGAAGAAATGAAGCCCCATATTGTAATTTGTGTGTAAAAAGTGTAAATAAATTGTTGCAATGTCCCGCCTTAACAAAGTGAGGTTCCAGTCAATGAAAGGCTAAAAGTTGTTTGTGCAGATACATTCAAAAGAAGATTACAGCTAAAATACAGTATCAATAAAACATTTAAAGTTCTATTTGCTTATGGCCCACACAAGTTTGTTCTTTATACTGTATACACATATTACACCAACATGGTTAATAGATTTTTTACGAGATCATAAAAAATGTCAATTTTGTACTATGTTTGATTTGAATGTACTCTAGAATCAATGATTAAACACGAAGGTCAAAGTGGCGGGTGAAATATGATATTAGTGTGCTAAGGTTCTAATCCTAACATTTATTTTGCACTCAAAAATTTGGAAACCTATTCTCTACATTTCATGTCTTAAATCTCAAGCAGTACATCATAGGCAAACTTATTATAAGGGCTATTTCAATGATATACATAATTAATATACAAACTTAATCATCCTTTACTGAAAGAGTATAACTGAAGACACAAATCATACTTTTAAAAGGGGTAGAACCTACCTTAACTTTAGCACAATGCCTACCTTACCTCAACACACCAAACCACCAGTTATACATGTTTAATAATTATTCCCTCAAGATTTCTGCCAATTTTTACAATTAAGCACAAAACTGTGATGATATGAAATTATGGAATATCATAGAGAGTTGCAATATTTCATATAAGTGTATTACATGGTTGGGAGTAATATGAATTAGATTACAGCAATATTTCATCAGCTCTCTGTGTTAAGGAATTAACTCTATATCTAGAAGGATTGCATTAGAATTGATAATATAGAACTAATATGATATGTATTATATTGTTGAATGCTAAAATTAAGTTAAGGGGGGTCACTTTTTAAATTCCGGAGAGGGATTACTTTTGACATCTTTGGCCAACCCCCCCCCCCCACCCACTCCCAGCTACAGGCCTGCAAAATCATGCAGTTTTTTACCATTTCGAGTGCTTTTTGAGAGATTTTGAAACAAAGTTGTCAAATATAAACCCACCCTGCAATTTTTCCAAAAACTGAACCCCTTGTCTAAAGCTTGCTACACTCCCACTCAAGCTTGATGGAAGGTAAAGGCTGTCACACTGGCAGCTTACCCAGTTATATATATTACTATTAGCCAATGATATATAATAAGCTTTAGAGCTAATTATCTCTGGGAATAATATGATAATACTGACTTGTTTCAAAGAGATGAGCCACACATAACCTGATGTAATGTCATATAACATGGGATGTGATGGGGAACATAATGTACCCATCTTTAGACAACTTCAAAGCACTTGTGTTATGATGCCTCTCCCAGGTTTTGTGCTTCCTAATATAACATAATACCTGAGGGAGAAATTAACTCGTCAGTTAGCCTGATTAAAATCTGTAGGGAAAGTTCTCCTTTTCCAAAGACATCACCACTTAACAGAATTGAACACAAATATACTGTCACCTTAATAAGCTTACTTCTTTAAGTAATAGCATCTTTTCAATTAATTTATGTAACTAACTGGAGACCTCATGCTTAGAGCTCTGTACTTCTCACCACTATATTCAATTAACATCACATCTCTCTGTATGAATTTATTTGAACAGCATGTAATTTTTAGTTTGATTAAAGCAATGCTTGAAGAGATAACTTTTCACCAATGAGGTTCTATACCCAGTGATCTCCCCAGGATTTTTATTTGTGTAAGCACTAAATCCTGATTTCACCTATTATTGGTAAAAATCTTAAATTCCATCATTTTGGCATGATCCAAATGAGATTTTCAACAGTATGGTATATCAACTGCAGATTTTTAACAGTATGCAGTAACCAGATGCTATTATGCTGCCTCCACCCCCTCTCCCAACCCCCGGGCCCCTTCTCAATTTTCTAAGGACCTTCCCAATTTCAACTATTTTCTTATACTTTAACTCAACCTGGCAAGTGACCACTTAAAAGTGAGGAGAATCTAATATAACTAATCTTAGAAGAACATAATTCTACACATCTTCGCACGCTCCGGTCTTCACTACGTTCATCGACCGACGGGAGCCGAGTGAACAAAGATGAATTCTACATGTTTACGTTCAGGTTCCTTAAACATGTACGAACCTCTCTAATATATTTATGAATCCATAAATCGACCTCAATTAAAACTTCAACCAAACTGAGTGGACATGTACTAAACCAGACAAATACATGTCCTCAAGCTAATTCTTTGAAGTTCATAGTTGTATGTAAAATGTTTCAGTGGTTAGTTTGACATGAATGTACATCTATTACATGCTTTAACTGTCTAATGTACAACCATTACATAGCACTTGGGGGCACCAATGTTACAATCAATTTCACCCTCATTAGCCTGAATGTCTTCTATGGCACATACTATAAGGAAGGGGTTCACAGTCTTGATGCAAGACTATGCCTGTCAGTGGTTAGTATGACATGAATGTACATCTATTACATGCTATAACTGTCTATTGTACAACCATTACATAGCACTTGGGGGCAGAAATGTTTCAATCAACTTAACCCTCAAATGCCTAAATATATAGTCTTCTATGGCACAGGCACCAACCCTACAATCAACTTAACCCTCATTAGCCTGAATATAGGTCATCTCTCTACATTTTCCACCAGTTTGATTTTGCCCTTTAAAAGAGAGCTTCGTCTACCTGATGTACTGAGTCTGTTCTGACCCTAGGATCAAAGAATATCAACACTTGTATAAGTAATGCCATGGTCTTTATCTTAGGAACTTTTTTCTTTTTCTCAAGAATCAAATTACAACTGATTCAAACATGACCGTGCTCTATTCGAATTTCTCAACCAATCAGAATGCAGCATAGCCAATATAGAACGTTCTCTAATTCTCCATAGATGCACGACCATGCTCTATTCAATCTGCAATTTGCATTGTTTTGAGTGACGTCACATCTCAGCTGCACAGCTGGGGCTCTGTCCGGGGATAGCTGTTCTTTTTTACTCCCTCCGTAACTACTGTAACTATTTAACTATGGCTGACTTCATAAAATCTAAAACGGGGAGTAAAATAGAACAGCTCAAACAAATTCTAAAATTTTTCCGGCCGACTTCAGAATCTTGACAGCATGCGTATTCTTCCTTCATGCCATTTCCACAGACACGGCTTTTGCTAATTTTTATGTTTGAATCGGAATAAATAATGATAGGCCATTCAATATGGTGAAATTCAGCACTCGTTGGACAGAATGTTAGTACAAATGCACTCACCTTCGGTTCGTGCTTTGTACAACATTCTGTCCAACTCGTGCTGAATTTCACCATATTGAATGGCCTATCATTATTTATTCCTTAATTGAAGTATACAAGAAAGGATACATCAGTATAAATATGCTATCATCATATAATATGAACCTTGGATTTCTAACCCATGCTGTTTAACCAGTATATTCATTCAGTATGAAATAATTGATGAATCTGGATGTTTGTAACCCACAGTACATAACTTTCATTATATTTTATTATATACCCAATATGTAACACTAATCCTGATTGGTCAATACCTAGTCACGTGTTCCGAAATAGATTTACTATTTCCCTCGGAAAGTTATATTCCCTCAAATGTGACGTCAGCGGGAATATACATTTGAACTATTGCCCGCTGACGTCACAATTGCAAGTTCTATTACCCTTAGAAACGTCTGCGCATCATCACTGCGCAGACGAAAAACAGAAAAATGGAGGATGAGCACAAACACAAATCAACTCCGTTCACCATGACAGACGTGCGTGAACGATACAATATAAGCAACGTGTATAAAGTTCCCTAAGCTCAATACGTCTGTGTAATTTCAAGTGTTATGATAATCTATTCCGCGTGTTAAACGCGATTGAATTTGTCAAGTGAGAGTCTCAGAGGCAAAAATTTCTAATGAGCATCTGATGACGTCACAGCTTATAATGCTAACAATGGACCCGGGGAGGGGGCTTTCTAAGGCTTTTTGGCCTTCGCAGAGGAAACGGGACAAGAGTCAGTATAGGGTATATAATAAAACAAATAGTGACTGCCTAATTTCGAGCAATAGTGTAAATGATTTCCCCTTGGGAATATCCTCTATAATGTACTATTCCCTCAGCCTGCGGCTTCGGGAATAGTACATTGTAGAGGATATTCCCTCGGGGAAATAATTTACACTATTGCCCTCAATGGCAGTCACTATTTGTATAATATTAAATGATGTGTCATTATCTGAGATATTAAATTATTGGAATATTTGCTATTTATAGGTGGTCTAAATTGTTAGCTAAGTGTACATGGCTTCTGATTAACCCTTTCATTCCTAGACATAACTGAAATTAACTCCTCATATGTAGAATAACAATTGTGAGATGTGAAGAATATTAAAAACATTTTACTCCATAATTATTAAGAAGTAAAACACAGAACACAATGTTAATTAAGAAAATTTAACAAAATTATAATCGAAAATCAGTTGACTTATAAAACCTTATATACATCTAGGTTTGAAAGAGTTAAGATATTTGATAAGTGACTTAGACTGACTGATATGTTATCAAAATTCAAATTTTGGTTATCACACTCATTGTCTTAACAAACAGTTTTCTAGACTAGTTCAATATTATACGTGTTAAGAATACAGAGAGTCATATTATCTCCCATGTGATATCCTAACTGGCCCATTTGAAATCTGCATGCATGCTATGAGTGAAGTGTTATATTGAATTAAAATGCCCCATTGCCCCTGTGCATGGGAGATGGACCACTAAAGGGGTCTGTAAGCATGGCTCCTAGTATATTTTTGTTTTCTCATACAATTCAGTCAAAATGAAAATGACCCCCCCCCCCCCCTCCTGCTATTATTCACTATCTACACAGGGCAGAGTCTTGTATCGAGCCCTTGTCTTGTTAATGTCCCCATTAACCTTGTTATGCATGCTACCTGGTAAAATAGATATCGAGGCTAGATGCAACACTAACACACCTGTGTAAAACCCATAGAACTATAACAAACATATAATCAAAGCTACCATTTGCATTCGTTCAACTTCACTTCCTAAAAGAGAGCTTCGTCTTCTAGTTTATAACTAGACTCTGCGTGCAGGGTAAATCAAAGTATGCATTTCTATTACATAGTTGAATATTTGGAAAAGTCTGCCAAGCTACCAAACAATCTCATATAAAGCTAATAAGATGGCACCTATGTCTGAACAATTCCAGACAAAACAGCAATCAGTAAATAATAAATCATCTTAATTAATTAATTGTTTAATTAAAGTTGAAAGACTATTTTCATTAACAATGACACTGTGATCAGAGTTGATTACATGACAATAAATTCTCACAATCAACGTCACAAAGTTCACGACGAACAGGTCACAATGTTACCAGATTCAATCAATAAAATAATCTCAAAATCAAAAACTACAGCACACATAGTTTAATATGTATAAAGGTCAGATTCCAGCAAATTACTTGATAAAAACACACACTGAACTTCTACACACTACCTTTAATTACACACTTAAAGATACTGATCAAAGTAAATGTATTTTTGATTGTGTGGCCAAATTAAAAGGTACAGTTAGAGTCAAGAGGGGGCAAAGACATCAGCAGGTTTTAATAGCCCTATTTTCATTCATGGGTCATCACTGTCAAGAACCTAAGGTCATTTATGTAGTTACTCTAGTATCATCCCTCGTCAAAAGGCTTCATTAGACATTTATTCAGAAATTATGGAAAGAATTGAAAATATCCTAAGACCAAAAGGATGCTAGTACGCCCATCTTCTGATTTATCAGAGCTCCTCTACCAAATGCTTCAGAGTTTTGTATTCCAAATGATAGTACAGGCTGTGGAATCCATAATGTTGCCTATACCCATTCCAGGCCCGTAGCCAGGGGGGGGGGGGGGTTCGATGGGTTCAAGCAAACCTCCCCCCCCTGGCCAAAAATTCTTTCAAAATCATACTGAGCACTGTTAAAGTGATTTTGGCTATTTTTGGACCAAAATTGTCAAAAGTAAACCGCCCCCTTGGAATTTTTCAAAAGAACCCCCCCTTGGCAAATCCTGCATGGCTACTGCAGGCCTGCATTCTTATACTCATCATATCTTTCTTTTTGTTCAAACTAACAGGAACTTTAAGCTACATCATTCTTAAGAGAACTTATGAATATGTAGAATAATTATACTCTAGGGAATGTGCTCTCCTTTGTAGTATTTACTTGTTCTTTTGAATGTACAGGAACAAGGGAATTACAACAGCCCACACCATGTGAGCTAAAAAGGTGCAATTTGGTCAATAGAAAGAACTAAAGTGAGAAAAGAAAGGGGTCAATGATCCCTGGGAGTCATAGTAATATAGGGGGTTCGAGTGAATACCCCTCTGGCCAAAAATTCTTTCAAAATCATGCAGTTTTTCATCATTTTGAACACTTTGTAAGGGATTTTGACCATTTTTGGCCATCTCCATAATATCCTTATTGAAAAGAACTGATAGAATGCTATCATCTCTCACAATTATACCTGACCAGTCAGGGTTATACAGGAGCTTGATGCAAGACAAGTAAATGTTAAAATGGTCCAATTAAACACTGATCCACCAGACCCACTGTTGGGAGACTGCTTTTTAATGAATGAGAAGATGAGAGTTTCGAATTAAATTGCTCGCCTCTCCGTATCAGGGCAAAAAAGAATATGTCCCAGGACTACATAATCAAATACTACTATGTTGTAACAAATATTGATGTAATTGATTCTCATTATATGCTATCACACAGAGTAACTTCAGTTAAGACTGGAAACACAATATTGCCATTACTAATATGATACACTGTAATTATTATTATATATTGCCAACGGAAGAAATGTGAAATACATTAGAGTAACGATGCAGCTAGAACAAGTTCTACACAAGCCAGGTATTACATTAATTGAATAAAACACTCACCAATAGCGATTAAACCAAACGTGCAAATCCATATATTCACTGCTCCAGACATGTTGCAATGTTAAAGCTTACTAAATCCTATAGATCAACAGACACAATTTAATATTCCAAAAACACAATGGCCCACGCTCGCTTTATTTGTTCTCCTCACTACTCAATACACAATTCAAAAATCTGTAACTGACTCTCGTATAATAGTAATTCAAATCGTAGATTTTATTTTGTGGAATAATCCAGATACTTGTTCCTACTATGAATCCTAAATTGAAAATTGAAGTTATACGATTGTGAATTTGTTTTATTCTCCAATTCCTTTATTCGACTCTAAGATATATTCGTTATAATCCTATGGCAAACATCTGCTGTATCACATCGAACATGCGTCTCTCTTGAGGTCTCTTAGCTGAATAAAGCCGGCAAGCTAACTAACTGGCAGCACCTATTAACACCCGCTGACTGTTCACCTGAGTTTATCATTGATTAAAGGTGCCCCTTACAGGTAAATATTAACAGTTTATCACAGGTATAGTGACTCATACATGTGACCATTTAGTAAAATTATACTCTAATCTGAACAGATTCAATGGCACCTTTTTATTGCTCATTATTGTTAACTTCAATATCAGTAAAAATGCTTTATAAGGTGTATATTCAAAAGGAAAATGAAAGAATGCTTCCTTATTATTTCTCTACCAGGTGCACAAAATGTTGTCCAAACATGTCACATCCTATCAACTTTTCAAATTCTTTACACTGACAGTTTCCATTTTCAAAATTTGATTTTATTTCTTTATTATAAGAAAGCTTCATCCGTTGTTTAGCCACAAGATAATGCTCAAATTTACCTAGCCCCCTGGCTATGCAGGCCAGTGGGTTCGCAAGGTTCGGATGAACCCCCCTGGCCAAAATTTTTTCAAAATCATGCAGTTTTTCACCATTTTGAGCACTTCTCAAGTGATTTTAGCCATATTTTGGTCAACATTGTCAAATGTGAACCCCCCCAGAAATTTTTGTAAACTGAACCCCCCTTGGCAAATCCTGGCTACGGGCCTGATATGGGCCTGTCAGAGACTTGTTTAATACTTTCCCTGACCCATTTGCCATTCTTCAATATCAGACATCACTGCTATAGCAGCTATGAAAGAATTGAAACATCCTCAGACCAAGGAGGCAACACGCTTCAACGCATGAAATATCACCATAAAATCATTATGGGATCCTGGATCCACAACCTATACTATTACTTGGAGTACAATGCCTTCCAAATCAGAGAACCATGAAGTGTTATTTCCCAGAGTGTCCTACACTCTTGCAGTATATGATGCTATATAGGTTATAAAAATCAATAGAAAATATCAATAAGTATTTCTATACAAATGAGTGTGTGGTAGAGAGTATGCGATGCTAATGTGAATGTAATGCAAATCTAGATCTATAAACAGAATGTTGCTAAATGCCAACAGCAATGTATGGAATATTGATATGCTATTTTCTTAAGAAATAGCTTGGAAATAAAATTGCTTTTTTATGGAGTCTCATAAATCTCTGGTTTAAATATGAGTTCATAATTATTATGTATTCTCCAAGGTCTGGCTTCACTGCTGAAGCAGCTTTGGAAAGAAGAGAACTGAAATATCCTTTGATCAAGGATGATTGTTATATATACTGTAAGTCTTGTATAAAGCCCTTTATAATGGTATTGCATGATTTTGCTTTTTGAATGATAGGACCCCATCCCTATTCTTTATACTTCCTGCGAGACTACATGAATACTGGACTTGAGGAAGTTGAAATTTAAAGTAGATTTCGATTGATACATCAATAAAAGTGTTAGGATCCACTCTGTTTACAATCTGCGAAAGAGGAGATGAGATACTATAAGAGGCCATACTCTTAGATGTCAACAAGATTGGGTAGCTACTTATACTGATTATATATACCTTGTGTCATATCTGACTCTTCCTAGACATTTTAGGTAGAGGGGAGGGGGTGGCTTTAAACATGATATACATACGACTTCTTCATTGTTACATCACACATATGTGACATATGCATATATCAATAATAATTCTGAAATTCTTTGTGCTTCAAAGATAATCTGAAAAGGCAATTTCATCTGATTGTTATTACAAAAATTGATGTTGTTAGCTGGTTGTTTTCATTTGTCTTGCTTGTTAAAAGACACTATGATAAAACTGCACTGTATTGATCATAGGAAGTAGAATGAATGTGACGTGACTGGTCAAAAGAGCAAGTCATTAAGGTGAGGTCATCTAGGATTACAAAGGTATGAAGTTTTGAAAATCAAATTGGTAAATGAGTACGAGGTGAGGTAGGAAGTCTATTTATTTGATATCTTACAAGGACATTTTATGGTTTCATTTTATACTATTCAATTACTTCATAGATGAGTCAGAGAGATTATCAACATTAATTCAACTGTACTCTATATTGACACAGTACCAATCTTACATGTATATCCTACACGGATATGATATATATCCTCTTATGATGTCAATATATTTAATAAATGCTATGAAATAACAATTTCTTATCAATACAGAGAGTAATGGTGAGTCACACTGATAAAACATCTCAAGGAGAGAAGATATGCAACACTAAAATATTACCAAATAATACTGACAACCCCCACCCCCTCCATCCCCCCCCCCTCCCCAGCTAGTGGAGCTGATGAGGTAACGAGGAGGGGTCAAGAGGAGTCATGAAGCAAGACTATCAAGTAACAAACTATTTCTCAATTATGTTACTAATTTAAAAATGCCATTGGGACTAGTAAAACACTATAATTACGCCAAAAACATCCAATTATATTTTGGCCAAGTAGACATCGGAGACTCCTAACTTATCACATCTAATTGTATAATTGGTACATATTATTATGCTAAATAGACATTTTGCCCTGGCTAAAAAGTATCAACGCTTGTCAGATAAAAATGTGAGATTTGACTGAATACTTGTTCAATTCAAATATTACACAGAACAAAAGATAGAAATCTGCGTTCTACAACATAAATATATGCCTAACATTGACCCTTTCTCACCAAAGCCCCTCTCTCTACCAGTCTACCTTTTCCACCCAGGGGAGGGGGGGTCAACTTTTTGTACAGGGGTGCCGCTTAGATTCAAAATACCCACATATAGGGATTTTTTCTTTAAAAATGGACCCACATCTAGGGTTTTTAGTGAAAAAATATTTTTGAAACATTAACAGGTCAACTATGAAATCCAAAATTATTTGATTTGAGTCAATGATTCACATACAACTGGAACTAACTATCACTACATGTGACATTTCCCTCGAGTAAAAATCATCACATAAGTTCATCACAAAATACTTATGTGAAACTCGATCATGAATACCATATACCTTTGTCCCCTATGTGTTAATGCAATCTCCTGAAATTCATTTATATTTAAAAGGTAGAAATAAGACAGCATTGGCGCATTACATATTTCAAACATTGTAATTTCATCATAAAACTTGATACTATATACTTATTTCAAAATCATGCAGTTTTTCACCATTTTGAGCACTTCTCAAGTAATTTTAGCCATATTTGTGCCAAAATTGTCAAATGTGAACCCCCCCCCCGTGGAAATTTTTGAAAACTAAACCCCCCCTTGACAAATCCTGGCTAGGGGCCTGTATTATCATGTTATTACATACTCAGCAATGTGTTTGGGAGTGTTAATACTGACTCAGTCACAATTGGGAATATTGATACATAATCAACAGTCACAATACAACAATGGACTAATACACAATCCCTGGTAAAACAAACCCGGATACACTCCCCTCCATAAATTTGGCAACTGGAAGTTATCATCGGATAGCATATGTCAACACCTGTCAATATGTGAATCTTAATTCCATTCATTTATTAAACAATCATCCAGAAATTTAATTTGATTTTTTTATATCGCCAAACATTAACTGGCTTTGGTAACTGATCCAAAGCGAGACTTCCAGTTGCCAAACTTATGAAGGGGGGTGTATGTGTATAAATTACACCTTAGAAAATCAAACATCACATATAGCTGCTGATTCAAATCCCAATATGCTAATAGCAGTAATGATGTAATCTCAGCTAATCTATAATGATTCAAGACAACAAATCACAAATCTAACTTAAAATGGATTTTACTTTAATCTTCAATGGGAATAAGTCCATGTCTAAATATTCAGTAATTCACACAATAAAGTTGACTCAAGACTCAACCCCCCCCCCCCCCCTACCTCCTTCTATTTATTTCATTTCATGTTGGGGGTGGGGTGAGAGAGAAGTGAGAGGCCAAAAGTACTTAGCAATAGCAATACCTGGTTGAGGTCTGCCTTTATAGTAAATAACATACAAAGAATCTGAGAATTAAAAAAAAACGTTCACCTCACTAGTAGGAATGACATAACTGACCAGAATGTGAGAAAAGGCAATATGATGTGAACTTATCTCGATTTCATATAAAATCAAGCAAAGGAAACAGAACACACACTGACATCAATGTTAAATTATGAGCAGGTAGTGACAGCACCTTTGGCCAAATATACCACCCATAATTTAAAATAATTTTAACACTTTTTTATACATATCCTACAGGGATGGTTAAAAATGGAATTCATTCACTTAGAACACTTGTTTTGTTATGAAGTTAATATAGTAGTGTAAAACTTGGGATACTTGAGCAATGTGGAGAATATGAAAAAATGTTCAAACTGTTTACATTGAAAGCTATTCAGATTAGAGAGGTGTTCAGATATACAGGTTCTACTGTATTCTGTAACATCATGGTCTCAACTACAAAAAAAATACCAGTGCATAAAAATAACACACATCAGTATAGAGCAATCAAATCACTTTATGCTGGACTATAAACTATAGCAAAAATCAGAAAGCAATAACTAAACTCCATCATGCAGTAAAAACCAAGCAATCTCACATCAAATCAGTGACAAATAAAATTGGACTGTATTAATTTAATCATAAATGTCAAATTCATCTGGAACCAATCCAACATCAGCATTCCATTCACTTCTTTTTATAGCATCGCACCCCTTATTCTGAATAAAAATCAAATTACATAAAATTCTGAAAACTCATCTTTTATATTTCTTAAATTTTATTTGAGT